TCCACCTGGGTCCAGGTCTCTAATGAGTGCTGTCCCCTACAGGGCTCTGTGTACCAGAAGACCAATGCTGTGTCTGAGATTAAAAGGGTTGGTAAAGACAGCTTCTGGGCCAAAGCAGAGGTGAGTGCTGCCCCGGGGCGTGCTGGGCACATGGGAGTGTTCTGCTTGCTGTGGCTCAGCTTTCTTCGCAGCGAGCTCGTGCAGCATCCGCTCTCCTTGGTGCCCATTACAGATGGTCACACTGAGGCTCGGGTAGGTTAAGCCACAAGGCTAGTGAGCAATTGGCTCTGGTGCCCGTCTTTGGCCATATGCCTAAAACCCAGTCCTGGGCAGGGGATTAGGCTGAAGTGTCAGCACAGGGCTGAGCGGGCAGCGGCTCTCCCTGCAGAAGGAGGAGGAGAACCGTCGGCTGGAGGAAAAGCGGCGGGCTGAGGAGGCGCAGCGGCAGCTGGAGCAGGAGCGCCGGGAGCGTGAGCTGCGTGAGGCTGCGCGCCGGGAGCAGCGCTATCAGGAGCAGCGTGGCGAGGCCAGCCCCCAGAGGTGAGCCAGAGGTGGAGGCTGGCCTGGGGGACCCACCCTGGGGCATTGCTGGGCACCCGCTCCATCCCACGGAGGCAAGGAGGACTGAGGGGTGCGGCGTGAGAAGCTGTGGCTGTGCCTCAGCTGTACCCCACCCGGCCCTTCCCAGCAGGACGTGGGAGGAGCAGCAGCAAGAAGTGGTTTCAAGGAACCGAGATGAGCAGGTAAGATGAGGGTGCTCTCCTTGTTTGGACCTGTACTGGCCACACACAGAAGTCCCTGATCGTGGATTGAGGGCCCAGCCCAGACCTGGGCAGAAGCTGCCCTGCAGTCAGCTGGGGCAGGTTGGAACCTGGGCACCTCAAGAGCTGACAGTAGAGAGGAAAGTCAAAGGCGGAAGCTTCGGGCTTGGACCACACCTGGTCCTGGGGGAGGCCCTGTGAGCCCCTTGGCTTCTGTGTTTTACTTCCCTTTTTAAAGGGACTTTTTATTTTTAAATGACTTCTCACCTGAGAACACGTTTTGCCTCCTGGCCCCATACTCACCTTTGAGGGGCTACTGGACTGACAGCTGGAGGGGCTGTGATCTGGGGAGAGGTGGTGAAAGTTTTGCCCACTGCAGGGGTCAACATGTGCTTCCCTCCAGGAGTCTGCCATGCACCCGAGGGAAATTTTCAAGCAGAAGGAGAGGGCCATGTCCACCACCTCCGTCTCCAGTCCTCAGCCGGGTGAGACCTCCCTCTGGGCCTGGCCACGAGACAGCAGCAGGGTGAGGGGGATCCTGGGGTCCTATGTGGACTCTCTGAGGCTAGTGACATGTATCGGTGACAGGGATGAGTGAGTGAGAAGGGACACCTGGGGCCCTTGACCTCATCAGTGACCACACTGGTCACCAGTTTGGCCTCCAAAAGATATTGGGCTGCACTGTCTACCAGGTCACCACATAGCACATGGCCCTGGGGTCTCTGTTCCTGCACTAGCCAGGGCAAGCCCCATGAGACTGCCTTGAGCACACCAGGGTGGAGGGTGCTGTGGCTGGGGGGGGGGGGGTGTGTATGTGCGTGCGCATGCGCGTGTGCAACAGGTGGTGTTTCTGAAGTGATGATGTATTTATTTACCCGGATTTGCAGGCAAGCTGAGGAGCCCCTTCCTGCAGAAGCAGCTCACCCAACCAGAGACCCACTTTGGCAGAGAGCCAGCTGCCACTGTCTCAAGGCCTAGGACAGGCAAGGCGCTTGTCATCCCATGGGGACCCTGGGGGACAGCAGTGGAGAAGGGGGATGTGTGGGAGTGAGAACCCATTGTGTTCCCTGGTGCAGATCTCCCTGGTGAGGAGCCGGCGCCCAGCACTCCTCCATGTCTGCTGCAGGCAGAAGAGGAGGCTGTGTATGAGGGACCCCCGGAGCAGGAGACCTTCTACGAGGAGCCCCCACTGGTGGGTTCCTACAGTGGGGCTGGGGCCAGGAAGGGGCTGCATACTCAGGAACACTTATCACGGGCCAAGTTTTCTGGGGGCATGCAACAGGTTTTAAAGCACATGCATTTTTGGAGCAGCCCTGTGCTATAAATTGTCAGGGCAAGCACCACTCTGTAGGAGGTGCTGGGTGGGAAGGGGACCTTGCAGCCCATGGCTGAGGGATTTGCACACTGTCCTGTGGCTTCTGTGCTGTGGTAGGGCGGGGACAGCAGCAGCCCCCGAGCCTGTAGACTGCTTTCCCTCTGTGTACTCCCAGCTTGACCCGGGCCATGTGGTGCAGAGCAGCGACTGGGTGTAAGGGCTGAGTCTGGGGTAACACCTTTGTCATCCCTGGGCAGGTGCAGCAGCAAGGTGCCGGCTCTGAGCACATTGATTACCACATTCAGGGCCAGGGGCTCAGTGGGCAAGGGCTCTGTGCCCGTGCCCTGTACGACTACCAGGCAGGTAAGGTGCCCTGGCCTGGCTGGCACGGACCACAGGGTCCTGAGGTTAGGAGACAAGAGGGTCTGGGGTTTTATGGGAAGATGGCACCACGGGGTGTCAGGAAGAGAAGACAGGAGGGTGGGTGGTGCGTTTAGGGGTAGAAGCACCTCTGGAGTGGGGGCGACTGTGGCACTGGAGTGTCCTGCACAGCGCAGGCCTCCCCATGTGTTCCTCATAGCTATTTGCTGGCTGCTGATGTAGAATCCCAGTTGCCATCCTTGTCACAAAACATGGGGTCTGAGCAGGGAGGTGGGCCAAGCCTGGATGCTGGTTCCCCAGGCGTCCCTGGTGGAGGCCTTGGAGAATGGGGTGGAGGCTCCCCATGGAGCAGACTGGTGTCTACACTAGCCTTTTTTGGGAATGCTCTGTAGGAGGGTGTGCCCTGAGGCTGTGGTCACCAGAGCAGCATTGGGACAGGGTGCAGTGTTGGCCAAGGCTTAGCAGTGTGGCAGGGATATTTCTGAGGAGGAACCAGAGCCACAGCGAGCTGTACTGCAGCAGGGTGGGGCTGCCGTGTGCTGCCCGAGCAGGTGGGATGTGGGAGGGAGCCCCTGATACACATCTGGGCTCATCCTCTTTGCAGCCGACGACACAGAGATCTCCTTTGACCCCGAGAACCTCATCACAGGCATCGAGGTGATCGACGAAGGCTGGTGGCGTGGCTATGGGCCGGATGGCCATTTTGGCATGTTCCCTGCCAACTACGTGGAGCTCATTGAGTGAGGCTGAGGGCACATCTTGCCCTTCCCTGCTCAGACGTGGCTTTCTTCTTGCTGGAAGAGGAGGCCTGGGAGTTGAACATTCGGCACTCTTCCAGGAATGGGACCCCCAGTGAGGATGAGGCCTTAGGGCTCCCTCTGACTTGGCAGACTCAGCCTGTCACCCCAAATGCAGCAATGGCCTGGTGATTCCCAAACATCCTTCCTGCATCCCCCTGACCCTCCCACACAGCTTGGCTCTTGCCCCTGACAGGATACTGAGCCAAGCCCTGCCTGTGGCCAAGCCCTGAGTGGCCACTGCCAAGCTGTGGGGAAGGGTCCTGAGCAGGGGCATCTGGGAGGCTCCGGCTGCCTTCTGCATTTATTTGCCTTTTTTCTTTTGCTTCTAAGGGGTGGTGGCCACCACTGTTTAGAATGACCCTTGGGAACAGTGAACGTAGAGAATTGTTTTTAGCGGAGTTTGTGACCAAAGTCAGAGTGGATCATGGTGGTTTGGCAGCAGGGAAGTTGTCTTGTCGGAGCCTGCTCTGTGCTCCCCACTCCATTTCTCTGTCCCTCTGCCTGGGCTATGGGAAGTGGGGATGCGGATGGTCAAGCTTCCACCCTGGGTATTCGAAAACAGCAGACACAACATGTTCCTCCACATGGCTCACTCAATGCCTGCCGGCCCCAGTGTGTGCCTCAACTGATTCTGACTTCAGGAAACGTAACACAGAGTGGCCTTGGCCTGTTGTCTTCCCCTATTTTCTGTCCCAGCTCATCCATGTCCCTGAAGAACAAATATGCTTTTGGACCACGAATTCCCAGTTTGGTCTACACAGGCTCGCAGCTCTGACCTGCCCTGCTATAGCCTGAATGCTCCCATGTGGGAATAGCACTCTGCCACCTGCCCGGTATCTGCCTCTGCTGTGTGTCTGGTGTGAGCACCCTCACCCTGAGACTGCGGCTGATGATGATCAGCCACCAGGAAGAGGCTAAATGTTAAGATGAGACTGAAGTTGGAGCCTTCCTGCGTTCCAGTTCCTCTGGGAGAGGCCAAGGGCTGCCCTGCTCCCAGCTTCAGGGAGCCTCTGCCTACATGGGATGGCCCACTGTGTGGCGTGAGGTATCTGGCGCCCACCGAGCATCCAGGGAATTAGGTCCCTCCTGTGCCCCAGAGCTGCTAGGCAGATGTGTGTGACTCGAGGCGTCACCTGCTGGTGCCTGGGGTGCAGGCTGCATGGAATCCAACCCTGCTCCCGGCTTTCCTGTGCTCAGGCCTCTCCCCTTTTTGCCAGGGCTTCCTGGTGCCTCTCCCATGAAGAGGGAACTTCCCCTCCACTCCCATGGAAGACCCAAGTTTGGGCTGTTGCCAGCTTTGAGACCCCCTCTGGGCTTACCTGTCCCCACCCAAAAGTCAGGGCTCAAAGTGCCACCTGGGGGTTGCAAGGACAGCAGAGGACCACCTGCCCTCTGTAGGAAGCTGTCTGGGAAGCCATGTCCTGGCTGTGGTCCTTGCTCCCCATGGGGAGAGCCGGGTCACTTGGCCTCTTCTAGTTGGCCCCAAGCATGCCAATTCTAGAGCATGGTTACTAAGTGGCTCTGAAGCTTCAGGGTCACCACAGGCTTGTCCTGACTGCAAACTCATGGAGTGGTTGCAGCCCTGGCTCAGTGTCCTGATGACTAGGGGTGGGTACTAGGCTCCTGCCCCTGGTGACACAGGCATGGAGTGGGGGAAGGTAGATGGCTGCACCCCTGGTTCTGGAGTCCCCATAGCTGATGGTGGGGTGAGCCTGGCATGCCCGGCTGCGCTGGAGTCCAGGCTGTGGGAGGAGGTGCCTTTATTGCCCAAGCCCAACCCCTCACTTGGCCTTGCCCTGGGCTGCCACAGCCTCCATGGCCTTCCGCACCGTTTCCTCATCACCCAGGAACTGCATAGGCTTGGTGGGCTTCAGCTCCTTGTTCAGCTCATACACAATGGGGATCCCCGTGGGCAGGTTCAGCTCCATGATTGCCTGGTCTGACATCCCTGTGCCGGAAGGAATAGGTGTCCTTAGCCCCTCTGTCCCCAGCCTATTCACACAGCAGACACTATATGACCTTTATGGGCCACAGAGCCAGTTCCCCTGGCACCAACCTTTCCAGCCCTGAGAGCGAGGCCACAGAAATGTTGCCGAAGGTCAAGGCGTAACTGAGTTAGACCAAGCAGCCTGCAGAAATAGCCCAGTGGTGAAACAAATGGGGACTTCAGCCCCACCCAAGTGGCTGTGACCTGTGGTGGTGCTGTCCATAGTCCCCTCAGCCCAGTGTGACTCCAGGCAGACTGAAGTTGAGGGTCAGGAAGGACACTAGCCCTTTGGTTTCTTTCTTTTTGAGATGGAGTTTTGCTCCTTTTGCCCAGGCTGGAGTGCAATGGCGCGATCTCGGCTCACTGCAACCTCCACCTCCTGGATTGAAGCAATTCTCCTGCTTCAGCCTCCCAAGTAGCTGGGATTACAGGTGAGCGCCACCACACAGGGCTAATTTTGTATTTTTAGTAGAGACAGGTTTCACCATGTTGGTCAGGCTGGTTTCAAACTCCTGACCTCAGGTGATCCACCTGCCTCAGCCTCCCAAGGTGCTGGGATTACATGAGTGAGCCCCTGCGTCCGGCGCCCTTTGGTTTCCAAAGTGCTCTAAATTCTAGACATCCTGAACAGGAGCAAGTGCGGAATGGAGCTGGAGGAGGGACAGGGAGGCCAAGCCTGGTCGAAACCTGACCCTGCCTGCCTCCTGCAGCCCCCGAGCTGGGAATAGCAGCTCGACCTTTGATATTCGCACCACTCCACCCCCGCTCCGTGCAGAAAGGTTTAAGAGAATGTTCCCTGGGGATTCAGGGACTCCCACTGAAATCCCCTTATATTCACCACCAAAAGTGCATCCCCTTTCCCCAAACCAGGCTGTGGGAGGGTCATGGGGCTGGCATGAAGCCTCCAGAAGGGAGAGGAGGCAGGTGGTCCTTCCGTTTGCCTGGCCCTGGTGCCAGGTGCCAGGTATCCGTGTTTGGAGTTGGCAGGCTTGGGGCGGGCTGGGTCTCCGGGGCCTGCCAGTCTGGGTGCTCTGGCCAGCTGCCCATCAGCCCCAGGAGCAGAAGGTTTGGGGCACACCCTTCTAGCCTTTCCAGGACTCTACAAGCTTTAAGGTCATTCAGATGCTAATTTAGACTGCCCTGGTGTCAGAATATTAAGGTGGGAGGCGGAGTGGAGGTGCCAGTCACTCTGGGCGAGGCCTCACTGCACCCATGTATCTCGGGCCCGTTTGTCAGCCCTTGCTTTTCAGTGGGAGCCCCGCTACAAGCCCGGGGTCCGGCCACTCCATAGTCTTGCACCCCTCTTTTGATTGGTCTTTCCTTTGCCCAGAGAGGGGCTCCAGAGGGAGATAGGTGGTGGAGCTCATGCAGGGAATCTGAGGACCTGATGGGGGAGGGTCCTGCGGGGGGTCCAAGCCTACACATCAAGAGGCAGTCAGTACCAGGGGAGCCCTGGGAGCTCCCCACCACCCTGGAAAAGGGAGAGGCCCAGAGATGGAGGTGGTTTGTCCAGGGCCCCCGGTAAGCCGGGATTTGGAGCTAGATGCTCTAAGCCCAGCCCCTCCGTTTCCTAGCTGGGTGTCCCTGGGCAGATGCCCCTTTGGAGCCTGCCCCGCCTCGGGACACAGCGAGCTTCAAGTGCGGTCAGCCCCTGTGGAGTGTGTCCTGGTTACACAGAAATGAGGGAAGTTTCACAAAAAAAGTGGCTGCTCAGCCCTCCTTTTTCAGTGAACGATGTGGAGCCCCACGCCTAGAAAGCGGCCTGGTCCATGGGCTAGAGGCTTTGCTGAGATGAGAAGCCAGCTGGGGCTGCTGCCCGCCCACCCTGCCCAGGCTTCTGAGGGCGTCTCACCTTCCAGGTGCTTGACAATGCCCCGCAGGCTGTTCCCGTGAGCTGCAATGAGCACTCGCTTGCCGGCCTTGATCTGGGGAACAATCTCCTCGTTCCAGAAGGGCAGGGCCCGGGCAATGGTGTCCTTGAGGCTCTCGCAGGTGGGCAGTTCCCCGGGCTTCAGGCCTGCGTACCGACGCTCCTGGGGGACACAGGCACGCTGCTTTCCCTCCCAAGCTAGCAGGCCCCCACCCGACTACCCACCCCGCAGCTTCCCAGAGGCCTTCCCAGTGGAGGCAGCCCACCTTGCTAATGGAGTTGTAGTAGGGGTGCTTCTCGTTCATGGGGGGCGGCGGGATGTCAAAGGAGCGCCTCCAGATCTTCACCTGCTCCTCCCCGTGCTTGGCGGCCGTTTCCGCCTTGTTGAGGCCTGTGAGGCCCCCGTAATGCCGCTCGTTGAGGCGCCAAGTGCGCACCACAGGCAGCCACATCTGGTCCGTGCCATCCAGGATGGCCCAGAGGGTGCGGATGGCCCGCTTCAGCACCGACGTGTAGCAGATGTCAAACTCCATCTTGGCGTCCTTGATGGCCTTGGCTCCCCGCCTGGCCTCCTCGGCCCCCTTTTCACTCAGCTCTGCATCGAACCAGCCACAGAAACGGTTCTCCTGGTTCCATGTGCTCTCGCCGTGCCGGACCATCACAAGGCGGTGGGTGGCCATGGTGGCAGCAGGGACCACAGAGGACTCTGGATGGGGACGGCTGCTTCCCTACACTCCCAGCTTTATAACAGTGTCTTCCCAGCCCCCACCCCAGCCAACTGCCAATCAGCATTCTAGGCGGTGGCAGGTGACCAGTAGCTGAGCTGCTGGGGGCTGGGGGCCAGGGGAGCAGGCCAAGAAGCTGTGCTTAAAATAGCCCTACGCATCCACCAGCTCCTGGCCTGGGCTGAGGTGGCATGTCCATAACCAGCTGGCACCTAGAGCCCAGGCTGAGTGGGGCTGCTGGTCAGGGATGGGCGTGAAGGGCAGAAGTCTGGGCTAGGGGAGACGGGGGCAGCAGGGACAGAGGGGCTCTCCAGGTTAAGGCTCGGTGGCCGCATCAGCCATTCTCTGCTCAGGGAGAGGGACAAACAAAATCCCAACCCCTTTCTCCTGTGATTGACAGCCGGGCTGGGAGGGGGCCCTCAGCAGGCAGAGAAGGAGAGACAGAGGAGCTGGTGCGGGCCACAGCTTTGCGGAGAGGAGTCTGGCCTTGTGGAAGGTACCAGGCAGCAACAGCAGCATGGGCAAGGGCTGGGGCTGAGCTGGGTTTCCAGGACAAAGGGAGAAAGGGTCCCTGTCTTTCGTCTGGGGTCACTTTGTCAAGGTCTCATCCATACCTGCCACATGCTCCCACCCTATCTGTTCTCACCCAAGCCACGCTTACCCTCCTAGCTGAAACCACCTTGAAAAAGAAATCCAAGGGGGTTTGGGGGTAGGACTGAGGACTGTCAGAAGTCTTGATTGTTAGGTAAATGCTCAGCTTAGGAACCCACAGCATAGGCTGAAGAGTGGCATGGATTTGAGTCCAGGACCAAGACTTCTGCATTCAGGTTTGGGGGATGAGGGCCACCAGGGCAGGGAAGAGACTATGAGTAATAAAGTCACAGTTGGGGCCCTAATGAAGGGGCCTTGGCTAGACCCTTGGGCATGGGCCCCATCCAGGGCCTCCCACATCCTCCCACCCCAGTGACCACACTGTCACCTGCCACACTTCTGATAACAGGAGAGTGTGGGTGGGAGGCCAGCAGAGACCACCACTCTGAGACTTGGATCTGAGTGTGCAAGAAACCCTCGACAGGCCTTCATCCATCCCTGCTGGCTCACCTGAGGAGGGGCTCCTGGCTTGGGGCCTGTGAGGCTAAGGCTCTGTACCCAAAGGTTGGCACACAAGTCCCAGTGGGCAGAGTCCTGTCGGCTGCCAGGAGCCCCAAGGCTGGCAGGTAGAACCTATCCCTCCTAGCAGTGCCATGCGCAGGTCTCACTGTTCCACACTGGTCCTGATTGAAGCCACATCTCCTCATCTTCTTTTGTCCCTTTGACCAAAAGACTCGACTCACTAGCCCAACTAAACATGACTGAGGACCAGGCTCTGGCAGTCCCACAGGGGCCAGACATGAAGCCCATATTTCAGTGGAGGAGGGATCGTACCAGCAGCTAAACATGCCTACCATAGATACCACCAGACGCTAGGAAGGAAAGACCATAATGTACTGGGGGAGATGGGAAAGGAGAGGCCACGGACACCCCTGAGGTGACATGTGAGTGGAAGGAGCAGAGTGCAAAGGCCTCAGCTATGATGAGTCTTACAGGGAGAGCAATCCAGGTAGAGGGGTTGGCAAAGACCCAAGCCCTACAGAAAGCAAACAAGCTGGGGCAGCGACCATCAGGGGCACATGGCAGAGAGGTGAGCTTTGTGTCCCAACACAGTGGGAATCACTGGAGACGTTGAAGCATGGTCATATATTTTCAAGCCACTTGCAGCTGTGTAGGAGCGGGAGTAGAAGCTGAGCACTCTGCAGATCCCGACAGCTTTGATAGAACAAGGCCGCTTAGCCAGGGCTGGGTGCAGAAGCAGGGGCAAGGATCCCCCAGACGTGGGAGACCTCACTGCCAACCAAGCAGGAGGTGTCAAAAAGGAAAGGGGAGCCCAGAGAAGAGCTGGGCTCCGGGGAAGCAAGCCCCTGCTTCTGACCCTTGGCCCTGGCTTGACGCTCCTTTGATTCATTCGACAAGTAGTTGCTGGCCTCTGCAGTGTGCCAGAGCTTTCTTGGAGAGGTACAGGGGTAGGAAAACCAAAAGCTGCCCTCAGGGCCTCCATCCAGGAAGGCATGGCATGCTATGCGGCGAGGAAGGCTGCTGAGTCAACAAGGTGGTCCCAGGAAGGTGGAGGGAGCATTTTCCCATGTCTCTCCCACTGACAGCCACCAATCCTGGACAGATGCAGGAGCAGCTCTGAGGGAGTAGTAGGCAGATGAGAAAAGGAGACCAAAGTTCCGCAGATAAGTGGTGAGGTAACCAGTATTGCCTAGCTTGGACACACAGGCGGCTTGAAACCTGAAGTGCACCAACAGAAAGAGCTCCAGGAAGCATCAGAGGAGTGGGATGTGAAGCCCCTCAAGGTCAGCGAGTTGGGGGAATCCCTCCAATTTTTCCTTTCTTCTCTACCCCAGCTCCTGGGCAGTAACATGGAGGTGGCACTGGTGGCACAGTGACGGTAGTGTGAGCTGGGTAGGCACCTGAAACCTGAGAAGGTAATGCTACCCTCTGGCTAGAGGAGCCATGGCCCCAAGAGCATGGGGCAACCGCCTTCTGCGGCTCCTTTCTGTCCCCCTGTGCTGGGCCCTGGATGCAGTTTCAGGGAGTATGCAGAAGGGTAGGGAAAGAGCCCCAGATTTCTGGCTGGAGGTCTTGGAAGGGATGTCGCAGGGAGCTGTTGTGTTTCAGGGAGAGTACAGAGAAGGGAGAGATGAAGTGAGCGATCCAGTAAAGTGATACGTGAACTCATCGGCTTGCTGCCAGGCTGTGCACAGGGCTGACCCTAGATGCGCATCGCAGGTCCCAGACCGACAGGTGTAGACACAGGACTAATATGACTAGTAGTGCAAACACTTTAAACAATCAACATTCTGCTTAGGATTTAAACAAGGTCCAGAGTCTCAATATTAAAAATATCTAGGATATAACCCAAAATAACCCAGAGCATGAAAGCCAGGAAAATCTCAACATGGGAGAAAAGAAGACAATCAATACATGCCCATCCTGAGATGATTCAGCTATTGGAATGATCAGAAGCAGACTTTACAGCAGCTATTTATAACCAGCCTTCAGAAAGTATTGGTGAATATTCCTAAACAGAATGGAAATGACAAAGGATGGAGCCCGTAAATTTGATGATAGTTTGGAAAAAGATATAAACTTACAAACCAAGAAGCTCAGTGAACCACACAACTGGATAAATTAACAACAAAAGTCCAAGCTTAGACACATAATAAAGAAGCTTCTGAAAACTAAAGACCAAGAAAAATAAGACCAGCCAGAGAAAAATGATACATTTCATACAGGTGAACAATTCTTTGAAAGACTATAGATCTTCACCAGAAACAATAGAGGCCAGAAAGAAGTGGAATATTTTTAGTTTTGAAATAACTGTCACTCAAGAATTCTATATCCAGTAAAAATACTATTTTACTGGAATAAAGAATGAAGTAAAATAAAGACATTCTCAAATGAAGGCAAGCTGAGGAAATTTATAACCAAAGAATCTGCTTTAAAAAAATGTTAAACGAAGTTCTTCAGACAAGAGAAACGATATTGGGGGAAATTCAAAACTTTGGGAATGCAAGAAGAACATCATAAATGGCAAAAATCCACATAAATATGAAACTATTCTTCACTTTTTTAAGAGTTATGTGATGGCTGAATTAAAAGTTACGACACTGTCTGGAGGCTTCAGTGTATATAGATGTAAGACAACTAAAACGTGACGGGAGAAGGGTGGAGGGACCTAGATGGTAGTAAGGTTTCTACATGCTACTTGAAATGGCAAAACATTAATTCTAAATTGACTGTAAAACTACGTATATTTGGCTGGGCAGGGTGGCTCACACCTGTAATCCCAGCACTTCGGGAGGCTAAGGTAGGTGGATCACCTGAAGTCAGGAGTTCGAGACCAGCCTGACCAACATGGCAAAACCCTGTCTCTATTCAAAATACAAAACTAGCCAGGTGTGGTGGTGCATACCTGTAATCCCAGCTACTCGGGAGGCTGAGGCAGGAGAATCGCTTGAAATGAGGAGGCAGAGGTTGCAGTGAGCCGAGATCGTGCCGTTGCACTCCAACCTGGGCAACAAGAGTGAAACTCCATCTCAAAAAAAAAAAAAAAAAGAACAAAAAGTATGTGTATTAGAACCCCTAGAACAACCACTGTGTGGGGTGTGTGTGTGTGTGTAGGGAGAAGGAGAGACAGGAGGGAAGGAAAAAAGGAAAGAAGAAACAGCAATGGAAAACAGGGAACAAACAGAAAACGACATAATGGTAGATCTAAAGTCAAACATTTCAATAGTTGCATTAAACATAAATGGCCTCATCACACCAATTAGACATATCATCAGTTTGGATTATAAAAACCTAATTATATGCTGTCTTTAAGTAATTAAGTAACTCACATTAAATTTAATAGGATACAAGTAGGTCAAAGGTAACAACTCATTCTGTGAGGGCAGTATTACCCTGATACCAAACCCAGACACACAACCTAAGAAAACTACAGACCAGCCTCTTATGAGTACATATGCAAAAACTGATAGTCCAGGAAAAAATCCTTCACACTATAGTTAACTGATTTTTGACAAAGGTGCCAAAATAATTCAATGAGTAAAGAATAGTATCTTTAACAAATGGTGCTGGGACAACTGGATTTCCACGTGCAAAACAATGAACCCCCACTTTACACTTATGTAAAAATTAACTCAAAATGATCAATAACCTAAACATAAGATAAAAAAACTATAAAACTCTTAGAAGAAAACTTAGGAGTAAGCCTTCATGACCATGGTAATGGTTTCTTAAATGACACCAAAAACAAAGCAACCAAAGGGGAAAAAACCCGGATTTCATCAAAATTAAAAAAAAAACTTTCAAGTTTAAAAATACACCATTAAGAAAGTAAAGAGACAAAACATAGAATAGGGAAAAAAATACCTGCAAAGCATTTATCTGGTAAGAGTCTAGTATGCAGAATGCATAAATAACTTTTGTAACTCAACAATAAAAAGACAAACCAATTGAAAAGTAGGCAAAGGATGTGAATAGACAATTCTCCTAAGAAGTTGGCCAATAAGCACATGAAAAGATGTTCAATATTACTACTAGTCAATAGGAAAATAAAAAAACCATAATGATACACTACTTTACATCTACTAGGATGGCTATAATTAAAAAGACAGACAATAACAAGTATTGGTGAGGCCGAGAAATAGGAACCTTCACACACTGCTGGTGGGAAGTATAAAATGGTGAAGCTACTTTGCAAAAGTCTGGCAGTACCTCAAAAAGCTAAAACATAGAGTTACCATAAGACCTAACAATTCCGGCCGGGCGCGGTGGCTCAAGCCTGTAATCCCAGCACTTTGGGAGGCCGAGACGGGCGGATCACGAGGTCAGGAGATCGAGACCATCCTGGCGAACACGGTGAAACCCCGTCTCTACTAAAAAATACAAAAAACTAGCCAGGCGAGGTGGCGGGCGCCTGTAGTCCCAGCTACTCGGGAGGCTGAGGCAGGAGAATGGCGTAAACCCGGGAGGTGGAGCTTGCAGTGAGCTGAGATCCGGCCACTGCACTCCAGCCCGGGCTACAGAGCGAGACTCCGTCTCAAAAAAAAAAAAAAAAAAAAAAAAAAAAAAAAAAAAAAAAGACCTAACAATTCCACTCCTCCAAGAATTTAAAACATATGTCTACACAAAAATGTGTACACAAATGTTCACAGCAGCATTATTCAGAGTAGCCAAAAAGTGCAAACAACCTGAATGTCCACCAACTGATGGGTAAATAAAATGTGGTTATCCATATAATGGAATATTTTTCAGGCATAAAAAGAAATGAAGTACTGATGCATTCTACAACATCATGAACCATCGAAAATGTTACGCCAAGTGGAAGAAGCTGGACACGAAAGGCCACACATTGTATAATACTCTACACACATGTCCAGAATAGGCAAATCTGTAAGGACAGAAAGTAGGGTTAGAGTTAGGGTTAAGGGTTAGGGGTAAGGGGTTAGGGGCTAGTGGTTAAGGGCTAGGGTTAAGGGGTTAGGGTTAGGGTTAGTGGTTACCTAGGGCTGAGTGTGGGGGGATAGTATAGGGAGATTGGTGGATAAAAGCTAAAGTACAAGTACAAGGTTTCTTTTGGGGGGTAATAAAAATTCTAGAATTGATTGTGGTGATGGTTGCACAACTGTAAATGTATGAAAAAATCATTGGATTTGTACACTTTAAATAGGTAAATTGTATAGTGTGAATTATATCACAATAAAGCTGTTAAACAGTAAAAGGTAATATGTAGGTTAGAAGGAAAATGAAATACCATTCAAACACTGATCAAAACAGCTGGAATGGCTAAATTAATATCAGACAAAGTCAACTTTACAGCAAGAAAATGATCAGGAAAAAAGACATCATATAACAATGATACTAGGACACTGCAATCCTACAACAGAACTTCAAAATATATGCAGCGTAGCCTGATATAACAGAAAGGAGAGATGGTTAATCCCCAATTACAGTTTGAGACTTCAAGACTTCTCTCTAGTAACCAACAGAACAAGTAGACAGAAAATAAATAAGGATAAAGAAGAAATGAACAATGTCAACTAATTCACACTTACAACTCTCCACCCAACAACAGAATATCCAGTGTTCTCAAGGACACATTGAACATTCACCAAGACAGACACTACTGTGGATCTAAATCAGACCTTGAAAAATGTAAAAGAATTAAAATCATACAAAATATGTTCTCTCACAGTAAGGAAATTAAACTAGAAATTAGTATGAGACGGGCCGGGCACGGTGGCTCCCGCCTGTAATCTCAACACTTTGGGAGGCTGAGGCTGGTGGATCACTTGAGGTCAGGAGTTTGAGACCAGCATGGCCAACATGGTGAAACCCTGTCTCTAGTAAAAATACAAAAATTAGCCAGGTGTGGTGATGTGTGCCTATAATCCCAGCTACCCAGGAGGCTGAGGTGGGAGGACTGCTTGAACCCAGGAGGCAGAGGTTGCAGTGAGCTGAGATCATGCCACTGCACTCCAGCCTGGGTGTCAGTGTGAGGCTCCCATTAAACAAACAAACAAACAAAAAAAGTGGTTCACTATTCCAAAACCAACCAATGTTAACAGGCTAAAGAAGAAAATTCACACAATCAGAAAAGCACCTAGCCAAATCCAACACCTATTTATTGTATTTATTTATTTACTGAGACAGGGTCTCGCTCTGTTGCCCAGATTGGAGTGCAGTGGTGCAATCACACAGCTCACTGTAGCCTCAACCTCCCAGGCTCAAGTGATCCTCCCACCTCATACCCCCAAGTAACAGGGACTACAGGCATTTGCCACCACCCCTGGCTAATTTTCTTATTTTTTATAGAGACAAGGTCTCACTATATCATCCAAGCTGGTCTCTAACTCCTGGGCTCAAGTAATCCACCTGCCTTGGCCTCCCAGAGCGCTGGTATCGGAGGTGTGAGCCACTGCACCATTCATTATAAAAACTTTCATAAAACTGGGAATAAAAGGGAACTTCTTTGACCTCATAAAGGGCATCTATACAAATCCTACATCTGCCAGGGTGTGGTGGCTCACGCCTGTAATCCCAGCACTTTGGGAGCCCGAGGCAGGCGGATCACGAGGTCAGGAGATCAAGACCAGCCTGGCTAACACAGTTAAACCCCATCTCTACTGAAAATACAAAAAAATTAGCCGGGCTTGGTGGTGGGCACCTGTAGTCCCAGCTACCCGGGAGGCTGAGGCAGGAGAATGGCATGAACCTGGGAGGCAGAGCTTGCAGTGAGCTGAGATTGTGCTGCTGCACTCCAGCCTGGGCAACAAAGCAAGACTCTGTCTCAAAAAAAAAAAATCCTACATCGAACATAATCCTTAATAGTGAAACACTGAATCCTTTCTACCTAAGATCAGGAACAAAGCAAAGATGTCTACTCTCACTACTCCTTCCAGTGTTGTCCTGGAAGTCCTAGCCAGTGCAATAATGTAAGAAAAAGAAATAAAAGGCATTAAGTCTGGCAAAGAAGAAATAATATTGTCTGTAAACAATTCCACAGACTCCACCAAAAATCTCTTAAAAGTTAGCATTGCAAAGTTTTGGGATACATGATCAACATATGAAAATGAATTATATTTCTATGTGCTAGCAATGAAAAATTGGAAATTGAAACATTTTATAATAACTCCAAGGAAATAAAATACTTAGGTATAAATCTAACAAAACATGTCCCAGGTATGTATGTTGAAAAATTGTAAAACACTGATGAAAGAAATAAAAGAAAACCAAAATAAATGGAGAGACATACTGTGATACGAATTTAAAGATTCTATATAGTTAAGATGTTAGTTTCCCCAACCTATAAACTCAGTGCAATTCCAATCAAACGGCTAAAAGATTGTTTTGTGTCTACAGACAAGGTGATTCTAAAATTTATATAGAAAGTCAAAGGATTATATAGCCAAAATAATTTGGAAAAGAACAAAGCTGGAGGATTCATATTACCTGATATTAAGCATTAGTCTAAAATTCAAGTTAACTGAGTTAATATGGTATTTGTAAAGGGACAGATCCAAAAACAAATGGAACAGAGTCCACAAATAGAACCATATAAATATAGCCAATTGACTTTTACAAAAGTTCATAGGAAATTCAGTAAAGGAAGGACAGTATTTTCAAGAAATGGTACTAGAACAATTGGACCTCCATATACAAAAACCTAAGCCTCACACCCCTTAAACAAAAATTAACTAAAGATAAATCATGGATCTAAATGCAAACCAGGCGAGGTGTGGTGGCTCCCACCTGTAATACCAATACTTTGGGAGGCTGAGGCGGGAGCACTGCTTGAAGCCACGAGTTTGAGACCAGCCTGGGAAACAATGCGAGACCCTTGTCTCTACAGAAAATTTAAAAAGTTAGCTGGGCTTGGTGGCTTGTGCCTGTAGTCCTAGCTACTTGGGAGGCTGAGGCAGGAGGATTGCTTGAGCACAGGAATTTGAGACTGCAGTGAGCTATAATCATACTACTGCACTCCAGCCTCGGTGACAGAGCAAGACCCTGTTTCTGGGGAAAACAAACAAACTATAAAAGAAAGCAAAGAAAATCTTTGTGATTTTGGGTCAGAGATAGGACTCCAAAAACATAAGAAAAAAACTGGTAAACTGAATAAATTGATAAACTGGACTTCATAAAAATTAAATACATTTACTCTGAAAAACACAGTGCTAAAAGAAGGAAGATAGTCTTCACACTGGGAAAAAATATTTACCAATCACCAGAGTGGCACATAAAGAACTCTCAAGATTCAGCAGTAACAGAGGGGCATGGTGGGCAACTTTGGGTTTTGTCATGTTGGCCAGGCTGGTCTCGAACTCCTGACCTCAGGTGATCCACCCACCTTGGCCTCCCAAAGTGCTGGGATTACAGGTGTGAGCGACCGTGCCCAGCCAACAATTCTGTTTTTGAAAATGAGACTTGAACAGCCACTTCACCAGTGAGGACATAGAAGCCAGTGAACAGATGCTCAACATTATCAGGCATTAGGTAAATGCAAAATAAAACCACAGTGAGCTACTGATATATACCTACTACTAGAAAAGCTAAAGTTAACAAATACTGAAACTATCAAGTGCTGGCAGGGATACAGAGCAACTGCCTACTTGGTGTTTAACTTACAGGGGTGCTCACAATGCTGGTGGACTGCAAAATGACAGACACACTCAGGACAACTTTGCTGTTATGAAATAAACGTATACTTACCAAATGACACAATAATCCTATGCCTGTCTACTTACCCAAGAGAAATGAAGACCTCTGTGTTACACAAAAACTTGTACATGCATGTCTGTAGCAGTATGATTCATTATCTCCAAACTCTGGAAACAACCCAGACGTTTTCTTCTTTTTAGGCAGAGTCTCGCTCTGTTGCCCAGGCTGGAGTGCAGTGGCACAATCTCAGCTCACTGCAACCTTGGCATCCCAGGTTCAAGCAATTCTTATGCCTCAGCCTCCCGAGTAGCTGGGAATACAGGTGTGAGCCAACATGCCCAGCAAACTTTTGTATATTTTGTAGAGATGGGGTTTCGCCATGGTGGCCAGGCTGGTCTCAAACTCCTGGCCTCAAGTGATCTACCCACCTCAGCCTCCCAAAGTGCTAGGACTACAGGCATAAGCCATGGCGTCCGGCCACAATCCAGACATTCAGCAGCTGAATGGATAAACTGTAGAACACCCACGGCACGGAATAAAGTACAAACTATCAACACACCCAGCAACCTGTAGGAACGTCAAAGGCATTAGGCTGCGGGGAGAGGCTAGTCCAAAGGTTAAATATAGTTTGGTTCCGTTTACATGACATTCTAGAGAAAGCAAAACTATAGTGATGGAGCACCGCTAAGTGGGTGGGGTGGAGAAGCACGTGACCACAATAGGACAGTGTGGGAAAGTGTTCTGGGGATGGACCTGGTGTGCCCCACATGTGCAAATGCTGCACCCCAAAAGCGTCTACTGCATGTTCATTTTCAAAATATTTTTTAATGATGAGTGGTCTGGGAAGTCCTCGCCTAACAAAATTACTTGATTCAAGGCCTGAAGGGGAGGGCACACTCCAGGTGGATCAAAGCCTGAGGCCAGAGTATGCCTGGCGATATGAGGGATGTGGAGGGCACCCGTGTCCAGCCCACTGCAGTGCTTCTGACTCAGTGAGAAGGGGAGGGAATTGGCCACAAGGGGGCCTGGGTGCATCAAATAGGAAGCCGGTGAGTCAAACAGCTTGGGGCCAGTGGGGCTGGAGAGATGCCAGAACCAGGGACCATGTGTGGACTTAGGGTTTGGAACCATTAAAGGGCTCTGCGACTGGAATGGCAGGATATGACCTATTTTTGAGACACTGTGCTGAGAACAGGCCTTAAAGGCAGAAGCACAGAGCCTGGCTGGGGGCCCTGCAGTACTGAAGCCCCATAGTTGAAAATTACCTTCCTCCTAACTCCTACCTAGGCCCTCTCCCTCTCCAGATGCCTACAGCACACCAGACAGTAGGCTCCTTGCTGGCAAGAACCACAGCCTCCAGCTCATGGCTCTCAAACGCAGCGCAGGTACGTGTGGTTCTCTTCTAGGCATTCTGGGCAGGCTCCCTGCAGGAGCCACAGTAACTGCAGTGCAACTGATGGGACACTGCACATCAGGGACCACATGCCATTCATGACTGCAAGCCCCGCCACGGCTCCATGAAGTGCGCCCCGCTCACATCCCGTCCATGGCAGGAATGTGAGCCATGGCGAGGCTAAGAGCAGACCCAGGGTCACACAGTGATGAGGCTGGCACCGAAGGCTCCCACCTCACCACACCCCGCAGCACGCCAGCAGCAGCTCAACTGATCCTTCAGGCACAACTGACCTCCAGCAGAGTTAGGCCCTGGCGGGGAGGGGTGAAGGTGGGGGTTTGGGGGCAGCATATCTGCCTGGAGACATTCAGTGGCCAAGTTGGGGGCAACGGATTTCTGAGTGGATGTGGGGGCCACAGGCAGGCTCAGGCGTTTCTCTGCTCTGGAGGAAGGTACTCGAGGCCCAGGTGTCTGAAGATGTCTTCCTCTGAAGTCACATGGAAAAACGTCTTCTGCAACAGAAGCAGGACTTCCATGACCTAGGAGTCATGCCACTGCTGCTTCCCTGGAGGACGACTGAGGGTGGAGGCAGAGCCCAGCACCGACGTGGGGTGTGCTCTTGAGGGCCAGGAACTGGGTGTGGAGACCCAGATTAGGGTCCTATGGGTTTCAGGCTGGAGGGGTCCAGGGCCATTTCATATTGTGGGTCAGAGAGCGGACTATGGGTGCTGTTTGCTGTCCCTAGTCCCCAACAACGTACCTGCTCTGGGTCAAACAGCCCATGGCTGTTCAGCCACAGGCCCTTCTCCTTCCGGCTGAAGCGGCGCAGCTCCCGCTGGAAAAGCTTCGGGGAAGGGACTGTCCTTAGCAGGGCTGGCCCAGCCCCACCCCCAGGTGGCCCAGCGACACACTGCCTACCTTGGAGCCAGTCCAGCCGAGCAGGGCGAAAGGGAACTGGCTGATGGGTGCGACAACCAAGTCCACCCTCACAGCCTTCCAGGATGCGCAGGGCCTTGTGGATCCCCCCACAGCAGCCCCTGGAGGTTGTGGTAGGCGGAAAATGCAGAAACTCCTCTCAAAAGCGTCCATGTGGCTCTGCTGGGCCAGGCGGGTAGGGGACTCCCAGCGGCTGTGCTGGTGCTGGTGGTACAGGATGAGGCCCTGTGGGGAGAGGTGGGCGTGGCTGAGACCCCCGTGGTGCAGAGAGAGCAGGAGGCAGTGGCATCGGCCAGTGGTGGCTCCTGGGGAGCAGGGAGACCCTCACCTGGTCCTGCAGGTGGCGCATCACTCTGGGCAGCAGCCCCGCCTCCTGGCCCTCCTTGGGGTGGGTGATGAGGAAGTCCACGTCATGGCCCTGCAACTTCCCCCTGAGGGGGCCAGTCTGACTCTGACTCAGGGACATGGCCTGCTCACTCCAGCCCCAGGCCACATCCCTTCCAATGAGTGGGAAGGCCTACTTCAGGGTCCCCGACTTGGGTCCCTTCACCAGGGAGGGGTCTGAAGCCAAGCCAGAGGGACATGTCGGGCCTCCTTACCTGCGGAAACCGCCGGTCAGCGTGACGGTGGCCCCAGGCAGGGCCTGCCCCACAGCTTCCTCCACTGCCTGCTGCAGGGCATCTACATCGGACCGCAGGACTGGGGTGCTCAGATCCCGATGGTGCTGGAGCCCTAGGGGCAGCACCGGCCCTCCTGACTCACCCAGCCTGCCCCCAGGCTGAGCCCCCATCCCTCACCAGCATGAGGTGGTCACCCTGGGGCCCCATCGTTGCAGGACCAGGAGAGGCCACCGAGGAAGGTGAAGCTAAGACAGGGAGCAGAATGAGATCCCAATCTAAGCATAACACATATGCTTAGATATGCTGGATATGCTTAGATCCCAATCTAAGCATATCTCTCCCTCTTTAAATATTAAACTTTGATTTGAGATAGTTGTAGATTCACTCACAGTTAAAAGAAATAGCACAGGGAGATCCCATGTGCCTTTTACCCAGCTCCCCCAAAAGGTTAACACCTTGCAAAACTATAATTTTGCAACCAAATATAAGGATACTGATGTTGATACAGTCATGCCACAGGCTATCTCTTTTGATGCCTATTTTTTCTTATGCATAAAGTGAGTCCAAGAGATGGTAAAACAATGGACGATGGCTTTGCAACAACGAACACCTTACTCTGGCCTACTTCTGTTTCGTCACCTATCGGCCTCCCACACGCAGTTAAGGAGAGGTTTATTTATTTGAGACGGAATCTCGCTCTTGTTGCCCAGGCTGGAGGGCAGCGGCACAATCACAGCTCACTGCAACCTCCATCTCCCAGGTTCAAGTGATTCTCCTGCCTCAGCCTACCGAGTAGCTGGGATTATGGGTGTCTGCCACCACACCCAGTTAATTTTTGTATTTTTAGTAGAGACAGGGTTTCGCCATGTTGGCCAGGCTGGTCTTGAACTCCTGACCTCAGGTGATCCACCCGCCTTGGCCTCCCAAAGTGCTGGGGTTACATAAAGATGGGAGGCATCACGCCCAGCCAAGGAGAGGTTTAAATGTGAGGAAGAGCAGCACCTGGCACAGTGAGCTCTCAGTAAACGCTGCTAGCCATTCCTGACTACTCTTGTCGTGGAGAGCGGCAATCAAGAGGAACCAGCCCTGTGGGTCTCACTTCCTGTCAGCTGAACTGGGCAGTGGCCCGGGAGAAGATGTGCAAAGAGGCAGTGGAGCTGGCAGTGCCCGCTGGGCTGTGGGGATTGCTTTGGCAGAGCCCTCAACCCAAGGGTGGTCCCAGATGGTGTGGCCAGAGTAGCCAGGCAGGCCATGCGGAGAGAATGGAGTATCTGCTCAACATCTGCCACTTGCTGGCTCTCACAGAGGAGCTTATGAATTCATTCCTTCCCACTTTTTTATTCATTGTTATTATTTTTTTAGACAGGGTCTTGCTCTGTCACTCAGACTGGAGTGCAGTGGCTCAATCTCAGCTCTTTGCAACCTCCACCGTGGCCTCAAGGCTTGACCTCCCAGGCTCAAGTGATCCTTGAACCTCGGCCTCATGAGTAGCTGGTACTACAGGCATCCACCATCACGCCTGGCTAACTCTTGTATTTCTTGTAGAGACGGGGTTTCACCCTGTTGCCCAGACTGGTCTTGAACTCCTGAGCTCAAGCGATCTACCCACCTTGACTTCCCAAAGTGCTGGGATTACAGGTGTGAGTCACCATGCCCAGCCTTCCTTCTCCATTTCACAGAAAATTTAACAGACTCAGAGAGGTTACGTCTTGGGCAATGGTCACCTACCTGGCAAATGGTAGATAGGACTCAAACCAGGGCCTAACAAACTCGAAAGCTGACGTTCTTTCCCTTCCCCTGCTCGGTGCCACCTCTGCAGGCCTCCGTGTACCAGGCACCACACTGGGCAGTATGCCCAAGGCCCAGGCTGTCCCCGGTCCCTGGTCAAAGTCTAACCAGTAGGCAGTGACACAAGCCCCTGGCATGTCACGGAAGTTGTGGTCAGCATCGTCCACTGAGAAAGGGCTGTGATAGATCCTGACTGCACTGGATGGAGACCCCAGGAAGCCCACCACACAAGGCTGCCGCCAAACCCTCTGCACCAGCCTGCTCCCTTCCCTCTAGGGAGTTGGTGCTGAGGGATCCAGGATACAGTTTTGGGAAGTCCAGGGCCCAGCCTCTCTGGAGGGCTCACCCGCTTTCTGCTGTTGGGTCAGTTTCTGGGGCTGCTCTCGGAGGTCATCCAAGGTTCGCAGTCCTTCCCGGTACCACCGGTCAGCAGTCCTCACACCGACCCCGAAGATCTGAGTGAAGAGCTGTGGGGAAGGAGCACAGCCCGGTTGGGCAGAGCTCTCATGGCTGGACTCAGATGATCACTGGCTCCGGGACGGTGTGGCCCGTGGAGCACCATGCACCAGGCAGGCGCCATCACCACTCGCAACCTGCCCTAGACCACAGGGCAAGGATTCAAACTTGGAGCCTGGCTACCCAGCCCGCAAAATGGTACCTACCCAGCCTACCATTTGCCAGGTAGGTGACCATTGCCCAAGACGTAACCTCTCTGAGTCTGTTAAATTTTCTGTGAAATGGAGAAGGCAGGCTGGGCATGGTGACTCACACCTGTCCGTGTGAGCAAACCCACGCACACCCCTCTCCTCTCCTCTATGAAAGGTCTCTCCCAGGACTTACACAGCTCTAGCCTGTGATTCCAACATAACTAAAACAGTCACCCTAACACATTAGCACGAGGGGCTCCTAAGTCACTGGAAAAACCATGCCTCTCCCACCTAACAGCAGGTGGAACGAATTCCTGTGGTTCTCCTCCTTAGCAAACAGCAAAAAACAATGAGGAGTTAACAATCAAAAGGGTGGATTTAGGAGCAGAGCTGGCAGGGCTGGCTGGGGCACTCACATATCTCCCCATACAGGGTGGGCCCCAGTCCAAGCATGTCACCTGCTTCAGGTCAGCCACTAGAGTCCCTCCCTAGGAATTCTGGATCTGAGATTGAGGGCAGACCCACGCAGTGGCAGAAGCTGTAGCCTGTGGGTGTGGAGCACCTTCTGTAGCCATATTTCCAACCAGAGGAGGAAGGTGGTGCGTGGCAAGAGAGGGTGAAGCAACCATGCAGAGAGGCAGAGGGGAGGAGGAGTGGCCTGGTGATACCCAGGTCACTGAGCCCAGTTCTCCTGCAGACCGGCCACAGCCCTCCCCATCCTGGGCTCTGCTGGCCCTCCTTTCCTTGATTTTGTGAACCAAGGGTGTGGGGTGGGTCACTGTCACTCGTAACCCAAAGTATCCTGACTAAAAATGATGAGATTAACCCAATTATATTAATAAACTTCTCATTACTAACATAATTTTCTGCCAGCCTAGGTGCCATCAGGGCTGGGGCTGAGTTAATGAGTGAAAGCACTTATTAACCTCCATCCACTTTAAGGGGATTTCATCATCTCCAGGCCCCTCACTCCCACACTCACCACAGTGGCCCCACTCATCTGGTCCCGTCCCTGCCAGTGCCCCTTGCCCCTTCCCCTGCATATTTGAGCCCATTTGCCCTGCACACATTGCTCAAGTCTCCCCTCTTCGAAGCCCTCCCTCCCCTCTTCGAAGCCCTCAATCCTGACAACATTCTGTGTGGCCTCCCAAGGTCCCATACTTCACTGACAAGTTATCCATGTGGCCACTGCTGTGACACCTCCAGCCACAAAGGTGGCAGAAAGGTGTCAAAGCAGGCACACCCGAGGCATCCAAAAGAGCTCAGATGGCATTTCCCTATCAGATCAGGAGTGAGCAGAAACAGAGGGAAGGTGGCCATGGAGACAGGCAGGCTGACCACACTGAGAAAATAACATATAAGGTCCTGCAGAGGGTGGGCAAGGGCAAGCCCAGCGCACTCAGTGGCAGCACCCAAGAAAAGGGTACATTTGGTTCAGTGTGTTCTGTTTAAAATGCCACAGCATGTAATCTACTTGAGAATATTCCATCAAAAATAATCAAGGCAGAGCGAAGTGGCTCACGCTTGTAATCCCAGCACTTTGGGGGCCAATGCAGGAGAATCATTTGAGCATAGAGGTTTGAGACCAGCTTGGGCAACATTACCAAGACCCCATCTTTACGAGAAATTTAAAAATTAGCCTGGTGTGGTGATGCATGCCTGTAGTCACAGCTACTCCAGAGACTGAGGTGGCAGGATGGTTTGAGCCCAGGAAGTCAAGGCTGCAGTGAGCTGTGATTGCACCACTGTACCCCAGCCTGGGCGACAGAGCGAGACCCTGTCTCAAAAACAAAATAAAACAAAAACCCCCAAAAGCCAGATGGTGTTGAGTGATCTGGAAAATTCTGTCCTCAAAACAAGCTTCTTCCTTGCCTGTCTCCACTTGGCTGCCTTGTGCATATCAGGTGTCAGCTTAGCTGCCACTTCCTCAGCGAGACCTTCTCTGACCCCTGGGCTGGGTCAGCTGCCTCTGCTCGCCTCCCCGTACATGGTGTGGACTGTGCTGTCATTCCCAGGGTAGGACATTCCTGGGGCAGGTCTGAACCCTGCCCTGCGCACCTTCATGGTCTGGTACCTCTCTGAGCACCGAACTCTCTCCACCTCCTTACACACTCCAAGCTCCAGCAGCTCCTGGAGGAGGGAACAAAGCAGAACTCTAAGCCTGAGGGTGTGGGGTGAAAAGAGAAGGGCAGGGAGTTAGGGTCAAGGCTGTGGGCCCAAGGACTGAGGCAGTCCCCTCCAACACCCTGCAGAGACAACTTTGTGGGGTCAGGGTCCGGTGGGACTTGGAAATGGAAACTGTGCCCAGGGAGGTGACCGAAGTTGCTGCCACACAGCTAGAAGGCCAGGGCTCCAGACTCAAAGATCCTTTGGGCTTGGAGTTACAACAGCTGAGATTCCAGGTAACGTGGATCATCTCTAAGTCAAATAAGTCCCAAGATACATAAACAATTGCTTTTCAGAACATGTGAACTCAATGCTACTTTATTTAAAAGCATCTTCTGTTACTGCGTATTCTCATGATGAAAGTGCACTAAAGGACAACTCAACACATTGGGGCACTGAAAAGAGATGCTCACACTCGGGGTGCTCTCTTCCATTCCACTGTGGAGGGCAGTTTGGGACTAATGACAATGACAACAGCGTCACCCCTAGCCCTGCCAGCCCCTTGCAGCACTATTCACTGGGTCCTCTAAGCCACCCAGGGGTAAATGGCTGGAGTGCACAGGAGGAATCTGAGCGCAGAGGGTGGCTTGTTGAGGCCTTGGAGCAGTGTCAGCACCCACGACTGTCTATCCCCACCTGCCCCCACAGCACCCTCTGCTGTCTCACCAGGCCCCAAGGCCTCCCCACCCACCCACTCGCCCTGCTCAGAATGGTAAGCACCTACCTGGACAACCCTAGAGGAGTGTTCTCCAAGGTGGGGCAGCCCCTGCAGCTGGCTCAGGGTTGTGACAGGGCTGGGAAGGGCCTTGAGCACCGAGGCTGCTCTGCAGAAGGTGAGGAGGCGGCCCTCACTGCCTTCAAAGCCTGCTGCCTCGGCCAGTGTCTCCAGAGCCTCCTGCAGGGAGGGGCCCTAGGTAAGGGGCAGGGTGGGCAGCTCCAACCCACCAGCTACCACCCATCTGTACCCTTGTCCCCAACCCCCAAGGCTGGCCAAGGCTCATGGAAGCGGCTTACCGAGAGGCTAGTGTTGTGGTGTGTGAGGGGCGTGGGGCGCTGGCAGGCATAGGTAGGCATCCATGCTGGGCTCAGAGGCCCCTTCCTGGGCCCAGTCACCTGGGGATGGGCAATGAACAGGTCACCGTGAGGTTGTAGGGCTGGCAAAAGAGCCAGGCCATACCCAGGCTTTGTTTCTCCTGGAGTGTCCAACTGAGGCCCTCTGGAGCTCATGGGACAGAGGCGAGCAACAAAACACCAGAGGCATGGGACTGAGGGAGACATCACCCTGCAGAACAGGCTGCAGACGGGGCTCCTCATGCCAGGGTAGCAGCAATCCCATCTGCCAGCCCTGTGGGCACTTCTGCTGCTGCTGCTGCACATGACGCATGTGCTCCATCACCCCAATCCTCACAACCAAGCGGGCTGGGGATGCTGAGGCCTCGGGGGCTAGGGGCTCGCCCCACGACCATGGCTCACAGGCTGGGCCAAGATTTGAATGCAGGCAACCTGGCCCCAAGCCCACACCTGTCAGAAGCCAGGAGCCTTATAGCATCCTGAGGACAGGCTCCTGCTGATCCATGGGTCATCCCGCTCGGAGTTGCTGTGTCATATACTTGGTGAGGAAGAAAGGCCTGAAGAAGGTAAAAATAAGCGGACCCCAGAATTTGCACCAGTGGTGAGAACAGAAGCTGAGATGGCCTGGCCCCCTCAGGCCCTGCTGTGGTTCCTCTACTGGCTTTTAGGGGGCCCCTGGTGATCTGGGTAGAGTCCTCACTGCCCACCTCCTCTGAAGGACATTGAGGCATTGCTGCCATGTCACCTCTCCCAGCTGAGCAATGGCCTACACTGGGGCTTTCACTGTAGCCCCAACTCTAGTTTTCCACCCAGCTCACCTCCAGGCGGTGCCGGCACTCCACAGGTACAGGCTGCCCAGCTGCCAGGCTCTCTGTTAACCAGCTTATGTCCAGCAGAGCTGGGGGGGTGCAACCCGGGGGAGCAGCTGTCATCCTGCGCTCCTGCCAGCTGACGGCCTCCTCTGCTGAGGTCTGTTCCATCACAACATGTGTCGCTTCAGAGCTGGCAGAGGGATTTGGGAGAGAAGGAGGAGGGTGAGGCCCAGAACCCTCCCTGGTTGGCTCCAAGCCTTCATTCTTGCCGTCTCTTCTGCATGGTGAGTGACCATTCATCCTGCAAACATCACCTCCTCCAGAAAGCCTTCCCGGCCCCTCCTCCTGGTAGATGAACACCACCACCACTCAGCCCTCAGAACTGCAGTTCTCTGCCCTGGCTATGTTCACAAGCACAGTCCAGTCTGGTGCTCTCTCCCTCCCTCTCCACCTCAGAGAAAGGAATTCCTTAGGGGTCAGGACCAGGTGGTCTTCATCTAAGAACAGGGGTTTTAGCTGAGATGCAGGAGCCTGTTTGGGTCTGAACCCCAGCTCTGCCTGCCACATACTTGTTTAGCTCTTGGGCAAGCCAGGTGTCTATACTTTGATTTCCTCTTCCCTAAAGCAAAGATAACATATCTACCCTGTGGGGTGGTTGTACAAAGATAGTGCCTGGTACACTCTAAGCTGCTATCATTATCCTCTCCTGAGTGGGTCTGGCACACTACTGATCCCTGATAATGTTAAAAACAAAACAAAACAAAACAAACAAACAAAACCACACACACACAACTGTAGGGGTATACTAGACCCAGGTTCGTTTGCTCTCTCAACCTCCAAACTAGGGGGCACCCCCAGCTCCCTTACTCTGGGTGTTGTCTCTGTAGCCGCCATTTTTCCTCCTCTTGGTTCCCTTCCTACAGGAGCGTCTCAGTCGTGTTATTTACTCAGGTCTGAGGACAGAGGAGCATGCGGGCTCCGGGCCTCCTGAGTAGTCAGTCTCGCTCACAGGTGGGACACAGCCCAGGCGGAAGGGCTGTTAGCAAATACGACTGCCTATTAATTACCCCTGACCTCTGGTTTTGATTCTCGCAGTGATCCTTTAAAACACGCCTGGCCCTAATTAATAGCACCCTTTACAGAAGAGGAGATGGAAGCTCAGGGAAAGGTCACGAAGTGCCACAGCAAACTTAGAATCCAAAACTACAGGTGCCACGGAAGACCGCGCCGCCCCGCACCTGCAGGCGTCGAGGACACGGAAGCCTTTGGAGCGCGCCAGGCGTGTGAGGAAGGCCCGGCGGCTGCGACCCATGCGAGGCTCGACCAGGTAGATGGCGACGCCGGGGAAGCGCGTCGAGGGCGGCGTGGAGGAAGCTGCATCGCCGGTAGGGGACCTGACCCGCGCTCGCCGCCGTTTGGGGAGCATTGGGACCACAGCCTCCAGCAACGCGGAGCGAGACGGAAGGAATCCGCAGTGAGGCTGACGGAAGCGGCGGGCGGGCAGCCGCCGGCTAGAAGAGGACGTGGCCCCGCCCTATCCAAATAAGGCCTCTCCGTGAGACTCGCGACCGGGGCCAGTCGGAGCGCTGGGGAGGGTCCGGGCTCCTACAGGACTGGGTGTCTCGGCCGCTCCGGAAGACCCGCCTCCATGCAAATAACAGCAGAGGACACGCCTTTTATTTAAATTAATGTCTCCGAAAGCGCAGTTTGGTCCCACTGGCCTCCTGGAGTAGAGGGTGGGCTGGAGCGGGCCGGGGAGGGTGTTGGAGGAGGTGGAGGAGGCGGGGTCAAAGGGGCGTCCTAGGCCCGTACGGGTGGACTGGGACCTAGGCCCGGGCGGAGCGGGGTGGGCTGCGTCCTCAACCGAGGGTTGAGCCGGCGGCTCCGGGTGGACGCGTGCGGGCCTTGCCCGATCCTTCTGCGCTCGGGACTGTCACACGGAAGCCGGCGGGCGCGGGACAGACAACGCGCGTTTCCAATGCGCTGGTGTGGCGGTCGCTTCAAACACGCGAGATTTTTCAGTCGAATGGCTTTAGGACAACTGGCGGGCCATTTGGAAAAATAGAAGTTGGTGCCCTTCCTCATTCCTTAACAACAAAATAAATTCCAGATGGGTCAAACATTTCCATCTAAAAAGGAAACCAAAAACATACCGGAAAAAAGTCGGTGAATGTTTTTATGATCTAAATATCACAGTAAACTTTGGAAACATTAAAGGAAAAGAATGATAAATTGGACAACAGACAGATTTAAATCTGATCAAAAATTAAAGTCAAAAGATAAACGGATAAAATGTGAGATATTTTGGAATTAAGATTATCTCATCATAATAAACTTATTAAATTGTCCATAGATAAAAAGGCAGTAATTTAATAGAAAAATTAGCAAAGAAACTCACGTAGATGATTCTCAGAAGAAATCCTGGTCAATAAATTTATGACCTGAGTGCCCAACCTGTCCAGTTGTTACAGAATACCTAAATGAGAATATCTTCAGTTGTGGGTTTATCAAACATTCAAAAAAATTGACCACACATGTTGAAGGTGCAAGGGAATTGACAATCTGTAGGAGAGACTCTGGAAGCCAATGTGGCAACCATATCCAACAAAATGAAAACAAAATAATACACATTGATCCAGCAATTCCTTTCCCAAGATTGGGATTGCATTGAATCTATAGATCAAGCTGGGGAAAACTGATGTCTTGATAATATAAAGTCTTCTGTCTATATCATTTAGATATACTCGATTTGTAATCTCTGTTACAGTGGTGTGGCACTGCTCAACCTAACTGATGGGACACGCCAGATCGGATGCAACCCGCTTTCTCATGCCTCTCCTCATCACTACCCCATCGTCTTGTCTTGAGCCCCAGACTCCCTGAGCACCTATCCTTTTTCTCTGGCCCCTCTCTGACATCTTTAGTGTGCTGGCTCTTCCCCATCTCTGCACTCAGAGCACAGGGCTGAGGGCAGCGGGGGAGGTGGCTCAGCCCAAGCATCCTCTTGACCTCCTACACCAACTCCCAGCCTCCTAATTCATCTACCTCTTCAGGGCTGTAGAGCTTCCTGGGCCTCAGGACCCACACACAGAAGCCAGGAGGCCTGCATGTGGTCCCTCTCTCCCCATCCTCCCCTTGTGCCAGCAGGGATGGGCAGGCTCTAAGGGTCTTCATCTGTGGATCTGGCTCCTGCCCTCCTCAAGGAAGAGGCTCTGCCCAAATGTCCCCTGAGCAGATCCCTCCAGCTGTCTAAAACCATTTCCATTCCTTTTAATGTCCTCTGTCTGGCCAGGGCACCTGGGCTCCCCTTGGGGCCCTTGTTCTCTCCTGAGAAGGCAGAGGCAGTTTTTAAGTCTGTCAGACCTGAGTACTTAAAACACTGCGCAACTGTGCAAAAATGTTTGTTCAAGGAATCTCATCCAACTGACAGTGTAAGAAACTGCCTAGCTTAGAAATCAGCCAGGCCCTCTGAGTGGTTGCTGCAGTGTCTGCTAGGACAACATGGGGCTGAAGGAGTCATGAACATTGGCCAGTGGGGGCAAGAGGAGGTGAGGAGGTGGGGAGAGAGAGGGACTTGCCTGCTCTGCAGGACGAAGATGTGCCCTATACCCAGGGAGAGGTGGCCTGCCGTGGAGGTGAAACCACCTTTGCAGAATTCTAAGTCATGAGAGAAATCTAACATGACTGACTCCCTCTTGCTTCTAACCTCACAGGCTAAATTGGTTTTCTTATTTCTTTTTTTTTTTTCTTCTTCTCCTTCTTCTTGTAGTGCAGAGGCCAACATAACTATGAGAGGAATTTAGTTTATAGTTAAAGGCAAGAAAAACTGACCCCCTTCTTGTTTGGAGATTGAAACCACTTTCATAAGACAAGGTTAGAATTGTGGTGGAGCCTGAACTTTGCTAAAGAATGGGCACAGGCGGGGCGCGGTGGCTCAAGCCTGTAATCCCAGCACTTTGGGAGACCGAGACGGACGGATCACGAGGTCAGGAGATCGAGACCATCCTGGCTAACACGGTGAAACCCCGTCTCTACTAAAAAATACAAAAAACTAGCCAGGCGAGGTGGCAGGCGCCTGTAGTCCCAGCTACTCGGGAGGCTGAGGCAGGAGAATGGCGTAAACCTGGGAGGCGGAGCTTGCAGTGAGCTGAGATCCGGCCACTGCACTTCACTCCAGCTTGGGCGACAGAGCGAGACTCCGTCTCAAAAAAAAAAAAAAAAAAAAAAAGAATGGGCATAAACAGCGACCTGCCGTTGCTCACTTAGCTTGCTTTTCTATAATACTTACTGCCCTGGAGTCACATAGCCAGAAATCTCAAGATTTCTAACTTCTCCAACTGCTCATATACAGGCCGGGTACAGTGGCTCACACCTGTAATCCCAGCTCTTTGGGAGGCCAAGGTGGGTGGATCACTGGAGGTCAGGAGTTCAAGACCAGCCTGGCCAACATGGTGAAACTCTATCTCCCTAAAAGTACAAAAAAATTAGCCGGGAATGATGACACATGCCTGTAATCACAGCTACTCAGGAGGCTGAGGCAGGAGAATCTGTTGAACCCGGGAGGTGGAGTTTGCAGTGAGCTGAGATCGCGCCGCAGCACTCCAGCCTGGGAAACAGAGCAAGACTCCATCTCAAAAAAAGAAAGAAAGAAAAAAAAAGTCACCATTATGAAACCTAAAGAACTTTGAGATATTTTCTAGATTTAGAATTTTAGCAGCCCAAGAGACCCCACCTGGACCTGTGACCCACACCAAGAAACTGACTCAGCTGCTTGAAGATAGTTTTGACACCTCTGTGATTTCATCCACTGCCAATCAATTGTCTCAGTTCCCTAGTCCCCTGCCTGCTGAAGCATCCTTAAAAACCCTAGCCTCTGAATTCTGGGGGAGGTGGTTTTGAGAATTATCTTTCATCCTCCTTGCTTAGTCTGGCCCTGCAATTATGAAACTTTCTCTGCTGCAACAGTGTCCCCACTGGAGAACCTGGAGAGGGGGTGTCCCTGCTGGAGGATGGATGGGGAGGGGGTCCCTGCTTGAGGCTGTGGGAGGTATACCTGCTGGAGGAGGGGTGAGGGAGGGTGTCCCACTGGAAGATGGGGGTGGGGCACAGTGGGGAGCCATACTAGGGCCAAGAATATCCCCAAGACTGGAGGTAGCTTTTGCAGCTTAAGCAAGAGGCATGGTCGCTAGGGCAGGTTAGGACTTGGGTGTGTCCAAGAGGCACCTGGAAGGAGTTACCCTTCCCAGAGGGTGGCCCTTGAGCTATGGAAAAGATCCCACTGAAAGGAGATGGTTAGATTATCTCCTGCACACTGGTAATTGTCTTTGAGTTTCCATCTTCAGTGGGCCTGGTTTCCCTGTACTGGTCTGTGGTGGTCACTGTGGGAAGGCAGTGAGGAGTGGGACTAGGGAGGGAGAGGGACTGCCACAGGGGCAGCAGTGGCCACCCCCCACCAGGCCCAGACCATCCCCTTTCCAGAGTACAGTGGAGCAGGGTGCACCTAAAGAGCTCCAAATAATACTGATGCCCAGGCCCCTCCCCAAAACAATCCAGTTTAATTGGTCTGGATATGGCTTGGGCATTGGCATTTTATTTATTTATTATTATTAATTTTTTTAGAGACAAGGTCTCACTCTGTCACCTAGGCTGGAGTGCAGTGGCACAATCACTTTTGGCTCTCGTGCTCAAGTGGTACTTCTACCTCAGATTCCTGAGTGGCTGGGACTACAGGCATGTGCCCCCAAGCCTGGCTAATTTTTTTAAGTTATTTTTTGTAGAGATGGGGGTCTTACTGTGTCAAACTCGTGGTGTCAAACTCCTGGCCTCAAGCAGTCCTCCCACCTGAGTCTCCCAAAGCATTGGGATTACAGGCATGGGCCAGTAACCCGGCCGACATTAGCATTTTTAAAGCTCCCCAGTGACTGATGTGTGGCCAAGGTTGAGACTCACTGCTCTAGAGGGAGGGGACCCTTCAGGGAGATGGAGACCCTGACAAGGAGCTTATGTGTGTAAAAGTAAGAGCTGAGAACCACCTGAACATCCAGTGACCAAGAGCTGGTGGAATAAATGTTGCTGTGTTCATACTGTGGAATATAATGCAGCCATTAAAAATGATTCTGTGAGGTTTTACTCTTTATCACCCAAAACTGTAAACACTCCAGATGTTCTTGACCCAGGGAATGGCTTCACACACTGGTGTGTCCAGCCCGTGGAATGCTGAGGAACATTGAGATGAAGGGAACCGGTGATGCAGCTGCTTGGGTGAGTCTTCAGTGCCTCATGGTAAGTGGCAGGAGACACCTATGCTCTGATCCCATTTATAGGACAATTCGGAAAAGGCAAAACTATAGGATAGAAAGCAGACCAGTGATGGGCAAGGCTGGGGGCAGGAGTTGACTACAAAGAGCTTTGAAGGCATTTGGGGGTGATGGAATGTCCTCTATCTTGACTGTGGTGGGAGTTACAGGTTACAAGACTGTTTGTCAAATTCATAGAATTATGAACTGAAAAGGGTGAACTTTACAATATGGCAACTATACCGCAATCAGCCTGACTTTTAAAAATTGGTGCTGGCCGGGCGCGGTGGCTCACTCCTGTAATACCAGCACTTTGGGCGGCTGGGATGGCAGATCACCTGAGGTCAGGATTTCGAGACCAGCCTGGCCAACTTGGAGAAACCCCATCTCTACTAAAAATACAAAAATT